CCTCTCCTTACGATACGACTTCCTCCACAATCCCTCCATGCACGACTACGTTTACCTCGAGCTCTACTACCTCGCCTACGCCCCGGCCTCTGTTTGGATTTGTCGTCAAGCTCAATGGGGAGCAGGTACCATTTCTCATTCCCCGCCCATCGTTGCCTTTTCGACTACCTGAGGCTAAGCCTTAATTCAATAATTCATCTCTCGGTTTCATCCCCCGCTATTTCGGCGTCGCGAGGAAAAACCTTAGCTTTCGCTTCTTATGTGCCACCTTGCATCTTTCTCCATTTCTCATTCTTTCTCTTCTCGGCGCTATCCCTTTTCTTCCTTCCGCAGCTTTTGGTTCAGACCCGCAATTTTCGCCCCTCTGACTCGCCTTCTATTGTTCCTTTGCCCGACATGGAAAACACCAACGTTCCGAACGACAACGCCCAGAATCCTTCAGTCTCCAACTCAAGCACCCACCGATGATTGCCCTTTGACCCCGGTACAGATGGAGATTTCCAGCTTGTTGGCCCTCCCACTTGGACCTGATGGCGCACCCATTGTGGCTGATTTGGCCCCAGGGTCCACCACCTACATTGACATGCACGCAATGGATCCGGCCCTCCTCCCAGGTCTTCCTCGGGTCGAAAACCAATACAACGAGGACTACACCGAATACGCCAATCAAGTCCACAACCGCGCTCACGGATCTTTTCACGTTGCCAACCCACATGAGGAATGGGCCTGTCGACAGTGCGGTCCTTCCCGTCACTGGTTTTATCGATCTTGGTTCCACTACAAGACTATTCGCTGGGACCACGCTGACGTTCCTTATTTCAAATCCACACCAGCTTATTTTCTTGACGCCCACCCCTATTCCAACTGGGCCAATCAACATCTTCGTGTGTGGGGAACCCGGGGCTGGCAGTTGGCCTTGCCAGCAGCTCAAAGCCTTCCCATTTGGGAGGCTTGTGAGAACTATGAAAATGCCCTTCAAATTGAGCGGCAACGGTTGGCCGCAGAAAACTACCCTATTGCGCCGGACTCCACTCCGGCAGTTCATCCAAGAGGACGCAAACGTCAGTACCCGTACCCGATTCGGGATCTATGTCTTTGACTTCCTCCTCTACAGTTTCCCAGAATACATTGGCTCCTCCATTCCCACCTTCGGCTGGAACCCATAATTGACCACTACGGGAGCTCCAACAAGTTCTTCGGGTCGAGGCCATACGCGCTTCCCTTGTACATTAGAGTTCACATTTCCCGCGGAAAACATTCCTGCTAGTTCCCTTTTCTTCCGGTTTCACTTTTCCACTTTTGGCACTTGATACATAATTTACTCATCCTTTTTTCTCTGTCCGCAGCCATTGGCTCCAACACCCGTGTTCGTCCGTCTTTTCCTACTACCAAGATGATCCCGTCCCTTGGACTTCGTGCTCCTGAACCTTTGACCCAGTTGGTACCCACGACCTGGCGAGACATCCGTCAACCTTTTGATTCCCTGGACCAAGTCCCCAATCTCTCTACCATTCGGTTTGAACTGGACATTAGCCTGCTCGTTTACCAACCCCTCAACTACATCACCGTGACCCTGGACACCCACCAACTTGAAACCAAGGAGTACACGGTCGATGATCTCAAAGATGTGATCTACTCCCGCTTGGGACAGCAACGCACAGCATTCTGGATGGCCCTGCCGTCAACCGGCGACTCTCGTGTCTGGGAAGCCCCGCATACCTGTACACTGGAAGACCTCGTGCTCTACTACGTCAACTCCCGTCGGATTCGTCCTCTTGGTATTGCCAATGAGTATCCCCGCGACTCTACTCCTTTTCCCTATCGACCTCTACACACTGTTGACCCCCGCCTACGGCTCGGCGCTTAAAACTTGCCTCCCTTCGGGGAGGCGTGTGTGTGTGTGTGCCCCTTGTAGTCACAGGGATCCCATTGGATAATTGTTGTTCTTTCTTTTCAGCAGGGGGGCTGGTTGTTCATGCAAGTACCAGCCCAACGAAGAGGCTTGCATTGAACACTGATATCGGTGGGGACGCTCACCGACGTACCTGCGAATTTTCCGTGTGGCATGAGGCTAAGCCTAGAACCTCACCAACATGATTCTTCTTGTTGCTGCAGTCATGCACGGAACGCCGTCACTTCGACCTGATCGCCGACCTCGTCGTTACGTTTTGGGACACCTTTCCTCTTGAAGACCTCCAGGATACAGTGGTTCGCACGTGTATTCTTAGGAAATGGAACCCTAGGCCGGCGTGTGGCACCGCTTTCAGTTCAGTACACCCTATCCTAAGTGTGTGTTTGTGTGTGTACTTCTTGGAGTCACGCGAATTGTTGCTTTTTGATTTTCATTTTACAGCAGCAGGGGGCGCGACGGTCGATTTCCTGGCCACGCCAACGAAGCTATGGAGATCGACTGGATGGAAGTTTGGACGCAACCTTTCTGTACCTGCCTTTGCGTCAACACTCCACTCTCCACCGCTGCTGTTTGCTGCAATGGTTGTTCTCGTGATAGACCCCTAAACCTTTCTGGGCCTTCAGCTGACCTTCACGTCACCCTGTTGTCGCCGCTCGCTTTCGTGTTTAAAGGTTTTTGGAGGCCTCGGACTTCAATGTACTACCTGGTTTACTTAGGCTGGCGAGGGGCAAACCGCGCCAAATCCGTACGCATGTTAATAAGTGTGTCTGGCCTTCGAGTCAGCCCAGGGTGACCCCGACGAGTGGCCCCTGTGGACCCGTTGAACGGGGGTTTTGTCGCTGTTCCTCCTGCCTGGGAACGTAGGTGTCCGAAGCGGACAGCAGGAGGCTTAAGCCAAAGTTATTTGTCAAGACTTGACGGATTGTTGAATTCCAAGCTGGCCACCTCCGGGCATGCCTTTAGGTGACCCTAGCGGTCTGGGCAGCCAGCCATTTTGGCACGGCGCCGGTCCCCCTTTCTCCCCTTACCCTTCCCTCCTCCTTCTCTGCCTTTTTTGGTGCGTTCCTGAAGGTAACACTCAAGTACACCCCTCTCCGTGGTGTGTCCCTGGACGCTTGCCCGTAGCTGGGAACACCTGCTCACTTCCTTTTCTTTGATAGCTGGGAACCCTCTCCTCCTTTCTTGGTGTGTCCTTGGACGCTTGTGTCGTAGCTGGGAACACCGTCGTCTTCTCCTTCTTCTTTCTGTACTTACATTCAATCGAGGTCTTGGCAATAGGTTCCTGATGAGGTTTGGCTTTCATCGGTTTCTGTCCCCTTCATTTGGTTCCCCCCTTTTTTCATCGTGTTTCCCCTTCACACACCTTCTTTCTTGTCTTTTCTTTCATGTCTTCCCTTGCTTCATGTCCCGTCGTCTCATCTCTTTCCTTCGTTTGCGCACACGGCTCGGCCCTTAGTATGTACACGCACAACCTACTTTCAACTCAGGTTTCAGGTTGCCCAGGTCTTTACAATGAGGTGGGTTGTCATCGCTTGTCCCTGTGCACTTGGTCCCTTTTCATTGCAACCACACACACACACACCTTTGTCCCGTCTTGTCTCCTTTTCATGTCTTCGTTCTTTTGTCGTACTGCGCGCACACTAACACATTTGCCCTGACCTTAGTGCTTCTCGCCTCCCCTCAGGGGGGGCGTGTGTGTGTAACCCTTGGACTCACAGGGATCCTTTCGGACTGTTTCTTTTGTTTTTTTACCTCACTATGGCAGGGGCCACACACCTGCCACTGCCGCTGTGGCCCATGAAGACCGGCAGTGGCAGGCGCCAAAACGTACCTGCCGCGGTGGCCCTGGACGGCAAACCCCTTCAGTGGGGGCCGTAGCTGGGCACTGCAGTGACAGTCCCTGGGCGTCTGCGCAGCTGGGATGTCACTTTGAACGCATTACGGACAGTCCATGGGCGCCGCCGTGCACAGCTTGGATGTCTCTTCATCTTCCTTTTCTTTCCCTGTTCCTTTTGGGACGGGTCTTGCTTAATTTGCTTAATTTGGTTTAACTTAGTACACTCTGTTTTGAATGTGAATGTCATGCATGTGCGTGGCAAGCTGCACTTGTGTCAAACGTTTTTCTTGAATGTGTGAAACTTTTGGTGTTGTCTTGTTTACTAACCTACTTGCGATGGCCTCCTATCTAGTTGCGACGGCCTCGAACCTAGTTGGGATGGCCCCCTACCTTTGCGCGATGGCCTACTACCTTTTGATGGCCTCCAACCTACTTGCGCTGGCCTTCAATCTAGCTTGCAACCTGTGGACCTGTTTTGCAATTTTGCATTTTTGTCTACTCACGATGGCCTCCCACCTAGTTGCGATGGCCTCCGCCTAGTTGCGACGACCTCCAACCTAGTCGCGTTGCCTCCTAGCTAAGAGCGATGGCCTCCAACCTACTACCTGTCCTCCTGGTCTCTTAGGTTTTTCACTCAGGCCGGCGTGCTGCAAACCGCAACCCAATCAGTACGCATTTCTATAAGTGTGTGCGTAACTTCTGGAGTCGCAAGATGCCTGTTGGCTTTTCCTCGTTCTATATCGTTTTATAGTTATACAGTACGCAGTATACGGTAATTTGTATGGGAACAACCCATGTGCTCTGCACGATGGTCCAACAAACCCTGCACACTGTACGCCGATATCACGGCTGATCACCGGGTCCACGAACATGCAGATTCTGGATCTTGCACTCATCGTCGTTCGATGGTGCGGGTGTGAACTTGGACCTCATTTTCGATGGTTTGGAACTTGGCGGGGTTCAGGACTACAATCTGTGGTTGGACACCTTTGCGCTCATTTATTTGGGAACCTTTTCACTTAGGTGTTTGGATCACGTCGAACGAACTCGTACCTTGAGTGTGTCTGTATCTCCTCCACGCACTGTTTCTGCCCAACACAGCATCCAGCTGCAAGGTCGCTTGCAATCGCACTATATAATCAATCAATTATGAAAAGAAAGCAACTAAAACTAGACTACTTGCATTGGTTTGAAAATGAATCGTCCCAAGATTAAGAAAAACAAAAACAGCACACAAATACGCTTGCGCGCCTGTGAGGACTCGTGGCTTTGCAAGAACAATTTTGTCGAGGTGTTTGCCGAGCACCGTGGACTCCCGCGCCTCCGCTGTTCAAACTGCTGCGCAGCGATTGCTGCATTGCGCGCGCTTGGAAACTAGGCTGGGCACTATCGCTCCAAGATCTGCTTTGCCCCGCCCGACGCAAACCAGGCCGTGTTGCCCAACGATGACCTTGACAACTCAATGGGCGAAGCAGGTTGCTTAGGCAGGACAATGCATAACGCTGCGGACAATTTTATAACAGTGTAGTATCAGCGGGGAAAACTCGCCTCAACATCATCGTCCGGCCATACTCTCTCGCCGCTTGGCTTTGTTGCATTGAAAGATTGCAAGACATCACCGCCGCAAAGCATCACCTCACGGCTTGGGCGATCCGGTTGACACAAACCGGACGCCTGAGGGCCACACAAGCTGAACTTTGCCACATTGCGGGCGATTAGACCCAACAGCAACTGGAACCTCAAATACAACAAACCTAAAGACTAGACGACGGCTGGCCCGAGAGCGAGACAGGCGATTGTTCAGCACTGTCAAGTTATGAAACAATAACAATCGAGTTGTCCAAGAGCCATGACTTCTTTATACAATCTGTTATTGAGTAAGAAGTTGCGAAGAAATTAAACTCAAAATATAAAGAAAAGATATAGAAGGAGGGAAAGAGAGGGCGGACGTGAAGGAGTGACAGTGTGGATGTGCAGGTGCGAGATAGATGTACAGATGTGTGGAGATGGAGAGGTAGATCTGCAGATGTGAGCGTGTCAAGATGTAAATCTACGCAGGTGAGAGAAAGGACATGTAGAAAGAAAGAAAAAAAGAAAGAAAGAAAGAAAGAAAGAGAGGGCGGATGTGAAGGAGTGACAGTGTGGATGTGCAGGTGCGAGATAGATGTACAGATGTGTGGAGATGGAGAGGTAGATCTGCAGATGTGAGCATGTGACGATGTAAATCTACAGAGCACACTACAAGCACAGCCTACAAAAAGTAGGAGCAACATTTTTTGAAAAATGTGTGCACAAAAACCTGCATAGGTTCAAGGCAATAGGTTCAAAGAGTAACCCTAAAGCAACACCTGAATAGGTTCAAGCAGCCTGCATAGTGCGTTTTTTCCACAAGGGTTTTCTTCAATGCCTGAAAAAGGCACCTTGCAAAGCAGTTGTCCAACTTTGCCTTGAACCCTTTTCGGGCTCAAGCCAAAGGTTACACCTGCGTGACCATGTCACTTGCAAACACACACTTATGGATACGCGTACTGACTTGACAGCGGTGCCACACGCCAGCCTAAGTAAAACCGCCTAAGGTTCCAGGTGGTAAGTTTGAGGGCTCCAAAACCTATGAACACGAGGGCGAACGGCGGCGACAGGGTGACGACGGGTCGCGCAAATCCGTGGAGATCTAAAGGTCCAAACACTCCAAGGTGAGTCGCCGCTGCATTAGCCGCTTACTGCACAACAAAGAATGAGACAGCTTTTGCCATACTTAGGTTCTCAAAAGCAGGTACACCAGGTTGATCAGGCGAAAACTAAGGTGAGGGCAAATGTGCACGCGCGCGCACAAGAGACAAAAGAATGAAGGCATGACAGGAGGACGAGACGGGACAAAGGTGCGTGTGGTTGAAACGAAAGGGGAACCAAGTGCACAGGGACAACCGATGAAGCCCACCTCATTGTAAAGACCTGGGCGACCTGAAACCTGTGTTCAAATGTATGTAGAAGTGCACGTACACACTAAGGCCGGGACCAATGTGCGCGCAAACGAAGAAAAGGATGAGATGACCAGACATGAAGACAGGAGGACGTGAAAGAAAGGAGGAAACAAAAGTGTGTGACGGGGAAGGGATGAAAGGGGAACCAAATGGAGGGGACGAGAACCGATGAAACCAGACCTCATTAGAAGCACCTAGGGATCTGCCTCGTTTGAAAGTAAGTGGGACAGGGGAACCTCAAAGTACTTTGACCGCTGTGGTCACCTTGTGCCCTGCCAAAGTGGCTGGTTGCTTCGACCGCTGCGGTCACGTAAAGGCATGAGCCAGCTTGGAATTCCAAAGATGAGACAAACATCTGAGTTCTCTCGGCCTAGGCCACCTTCGCCCGCTGTGGGCACGTACGTTTCCAAAGCAAGGGAAACAACGACAGACACCCGTTCGACGGGTCCACAAAAGGCACTCTGCGGGCTCATCCCGACTCTCACTGGGAGAGACACACTTAGCGTACTGACTTGACAGCGGTGCCACACGCCAGCCTAAGTAAAACCGCCTAAGGTTCCAGGTGGTAAGTTTGAGGCCTCCAAAACCTATGAACACGAGGGCGAACGGCGGCGACAGGGCGACGACGGGCCGCGCAAATCCGTGGAGCTCCAAAGGTCCAAACGCTCCAAGGTGAGTCGCCGCTGCCTTAGCCGCTTACTGCACAACAAAGAATGAGACAGCTTTTGCCATACTTAGGTTCTCAGAAGCAGGTACACCAGGTTGATCAGATCTGGCTTCCCAGATGCAAGGTAGCTTTGTTAGGCGCAGTCCCTTGCATCTGCTGCACCCCCCTGCTTAAAATTACAATTGAAAAGAATCCCTGTGACTACAAGGGGCACACGCACTCTCAAGTGCACACAAACACAAGCAGAGTCCACATGGCAACACACACAGCCACAATCATGGGGTGTGTGTAAGGTAGCAATACATTGTCACTAGAAGCATTTCACAGCAACCACAACATGCCCATGCACATGTCCACACTCCACAACCTCACACAACTTACCTTTGACTGCTTTCAAAAATCACCACACTTCACAACATGCATATGTCCACACTTACCTTTGGTTAGTCTCAAAGGTCGCCACACTTCGCAGATACGTATGTCCACACATGTCCACACGCTACAGCCACAGACAACTTATTAACTTTCATAGGCTACCACATTTCACAAACACTAGAAGTCTATAGGCATGTTGGCAGTTTGAATGGCCATGCTGCTGCTGCTGCTGGTGGCAATGCCTGTAACAGGCACACTGTCAATGCCTGTAACAGGCACATTGTAGATCCTGACCCTGGAAGGGGCCAGACATCACTGCCTGCGCAGGCATTAGGGTGGAAGAGAGGATGGTGCCTATTGCAGGCATTGACTCCAAAAAGCCTGTTGCAGACCAGACAAGTCCCAGAAGCAAGGTGCCTGTTGCAGGCATTGAGAAGGGTAAATTCTATGTAGTTTACTCAAATGAGAGGGGAAATGTCAAACTGGGAAGCTCAATGCCTCATTGAGCTTTTCAGGACAGAGCCAGAAATGGCTGTTTACATCTAACTATACCCATTTCCCTCCCTGTTGGTTTCCATCTGCCTTGGATGGGGTGGGTACATGGCCACCCGCATGTGTAAAGCCAGCAGTGGGTACCCTCCACTGAAGAGCCTGACCACAATGAGGTATGGGTGGGAGAAGGTGTGAACATTTGGTCATTGTTTCCAGCATTCACCACCCATACCCAATGCCTGACACAGGCATCTTTGAGGCTTCAGAGCCTCCTCGTGAAGAAGAAGAGGAAGAAGAGGTCAATGACTGGGAAGTCACCAAGGGCCTGAGGCACCTGGACAAAGGGTATGGTTTTTAGGTGGGGAGGGAGGAAAGGCTCAAGTACATCAAGGCAGCAAAGCCTGTCCCTCCCCAGCTGCAAGTCAGGCAGGTCCAGCTCTCAATTGCTGCCAAGAGGCAGATGTGGGAGCTGGTGCAGCAAGGGAAGGCTACAAAGGCTGCCTTGAAGGAATAGCTTGGGAAGGGAAAGGGAAAGACTGTGGGCAAGTCTAAATCAGAAAAGGTAAAGCATCCATCTGGCAATGCCTCAATGGCTGACCCAGCCAGCATCCCTTCGCAAGAGTTCTCTGGCCCAATGCCTGGAAAAGGCACCAGCGCAAAGCCTGCAAAGGCTAAAGAAGAAAACAAAGAACAAATGCCTGGAACATGCAAAGCAAGGAAAAGGAGCAAGACACCAAAACAAAAGACTGCGCAAAGGGTGCAGACAGGAAAGGAACTCCTGCCCAACCAAAAAGAGAAAGCCTGGGAGAGGCTCCAAACAGCTCACAGCAACCACCTTCTCAGCCACCAGAGCCTGAGCAAGAGGCTTCTGAAGGCAAAGAAGCTGAAGCTGCTGCTGCTGCTGCTAGCACAGAGGCTGAAAAGCCTACTGAAGAAAAGCCTGAGGACCCAAAGCCTGAAGAAGGCTGAGAAGCCTGGCAGTGAAGAACTAAATCCTGATTGGGAAGCCCAGAAGGCAAATGCCTGTAAAGGGCACCGCCCAAAGCCTGTAAGAGGCTCTTAGGTGCAGCAAAAAGCTGCTTTTTTTGAAGCGGTAACCTCTGGGCTAAGTTGACCATGTTGGTAGTGCTTGTCAAGCCCCCTTCACAAACCATGAAAAAATAGAAAAAACTGAAAAATTATAGGACCGGATAACCCCACATGTGAACAACTTCGAAAGATTGAGGCTGCAGGGGTAAAGTGCGGAAGAGTGAGCATGGGGAAGAGACAGGCGAAACAGATATAAGGCGTGAGGGTCTCTGTGTGTACGTGAGGTGTGTGTGTGTGTGTTTGTATGTATGCGCTTGTTCGCCAGTGTGTATCAGTGGGTGGGTGGATGTATGCTGCTTGTTCTCATCTTCCAGCTCCCCAGATACTCCGCGTACTAAAGTTGTACTACAAAGTCGCCAGTTCTCAGCTTCCAGCTCCACAGATTGCTCCGCGTACTAAAGTTGTACTACAAAGTCGCCAGTTCTCATCTTCCAGCTTCGCAGATACTCCGCGTACTAAAGTTGTACTACAAAGTCGCCAGTTCTCATCTTCAAGCTCCGCAGATACTCCGCGTACTAAAGTTGCACTACAAAGTCGCCAGTTCTCATCTTCCAGCTCCGCAGCAGATACTCCGCGCACTAAAGTTGTACTACAAAGTCGCCAATTTTTTTTAGATTCCAGCTCCGCAGATACTCCGCGCACTAAAGTGGTACTACAAAGTCGCCAGATCTCAGCTTCCAGCTCCACAGATACTCCGCGCACTAAAGTTGTACTACAAAGTCGCCAGTTCTCAGCTTCCAGCTCCCCAGATTGCTCCGCGTACTAAAGTTGTACTACTCAGCTTCCAGCTCCACAGATTGCTGTACTACAAAGTCGCCAGTTCTCATCTTCCAGCTCCCCAGATACTCCGCGTACTAAAGTTGTACTACAAAGTCGCCAATTCTCATCTTCCAGCTCCCCAGATACTCCGCGTACTAAAGTTGTACTACAAAGTCGCCAGTTCTCAGCTTCCAGCTCCCCAGATTGCACCGCGTACTAAAGTTGCGCTACAAAGTCGCCAGTCCTCAGCTTCCAGCTCGCCAGATACT